CAAAAGAAAAAAAAGGAAAAAAAAGCTGTATACAGTATAGTGTTCTTTTCAGCTTATTTTGCAGCTTTCTCTTGAAATCTCAAACCTATACAGCATCTCCTTACATTCTTTCTGTTTTAAGACTAATGGTAGCCATACTAATTTCACACAAAGCTTCAACCCAAGATCTTTAACAGTAAAATGCTTCAATAAGTATCCCTATAAACACATAATCAAGGAGCAGAATCAGAGGCGGAGCTAGAGTGCCAAGAGCGGGTTCGACCGAACACAGTAACTCTAGTTCGAACCCTTTATTTGGCTTACAAAAAATCACGGAATATGCATAAATTATTAATTTAGAACCCAAAAACTTAAGGCGATTACAATTCCGAATCCATAAGCTTGAAATCTTGACTCCGTCTCTGAGCAGAATCCTCTAATTGCTACACTAATTCAGCTACCAAAGCTGATGATCAAATTTTTTTAAGAAAAAAATGATTTTGGGTTTGTTAGGAAATTACCTGCGGCATTACTATCATTTTCTGCAGCTACCGAACTTTCCATGGCTCAAATACTCCAAAAACAAAGATCCTCAATAAATCTGAGTCCTGTAAAATTAGAAAAAATTAGTATGAACCAACTCGAAGAAAAAAAAAGGATTCAAAATTATGCAGATTGAAAAATTGGGAAAATTGGAAGAAACTCTAAAATCTACAAACCAATCAATCAATGCTCTCCCATTGGCTAAAAACGACCTTCCCAAAATGATTGGTATCTCTTCATCCACTTGACAATCAAGAATGACAAAGTCTGCAGGGAATAGAAACTTTCTCACTTGAACAAGCACATCATCAAGAATTCCTATCGGTCTTTTGACTGTGCGATCAGCCAGTTGCAGCAACATTGAGGTCGGTCTAGCTCTGCCAATGCCTAGTTTTGTATAGATTGCCAAAGACATCAAGTTTATACTGGCTCCAAGTCACACAATGCTTTAGTAAAAGCATAACTCCCGATAGTGCATGGGATAGTGAAACTACCTGGATCAGACACCTTTTGAGCCATAAGCCTTGTCACTACCGCGCTGCAAGTTTGCGTCAGAGTTACAGCGGACAGGTCCTGGAAGTCAAATTTTTGCGACATCTGGTCTTTCATCATTTTTGCATACCCTGACATTTCCCTCAAAGCATCCATCAACGGAATATTCAATTGAATTTGTCTGAGCATTTCCATGAATTTTCTATATTGATCATCTTTCTTTTGCTTTGCGAACCTCTGAGGGAATGGTGCAGGAGTCAACCTCTGCCCACTGCTTTGTGTCTTTTCTTTGCTGGAAGCTTTTTCTACTGCCTGTTCTAGGAGTTGTTCACCTTCCTTCTCCTTACCCTTGTCAACTTGTGCCTATTCAATTACAACCTCGGTGAGCTCTGCTGACTCATCTGTCTCTAATGTAACTGGAGTAGTTGGCGTTGTCTCTCTCCTAGATTGAGCAACTTTTTTCTCCCTGTCTAAATCTCTTCCATTCTTGAGACTCACTCCCTGACATTCGTGTGCAGCTAACTTCTCTTGCATCTTTCCATTTGTCCCAATGAGTTATTGCAGCATGCCCCTGATATGTTAATGCTATTGACAACAAAGAGTAGTAAGTGACTTGGAAAATCTGTATTTTTATTGATCATAAAAGCTTGCTTAAATACATAAAGTCAGTAACTGACTATCAATAAATACTATTAAAAATATGCTAAACAACTCTATTGCTAACTAAAAAGGAGGAACATAACTTGAAAATAGCTAACAAACTTTCAAAAAGAAAAACAGAATCCTAAATATTTGCAAAAGAGTCAACACAATCTGGTGTGTATTCCTCAACTTCTGCAGCCTAACTAAGCTCCTGATTTTATTGACTGCAACAACATTGCAACTTTTGAGGCAACTGAAACACTCCTCCTGCCTCAAGAATTGCAGACTCCAAGTTTGCTTCTAAAAAACTCAAATCTATTAACATGAAATGGCTTTGTAAACAGATCATCAATTTGATCTTCTGACCTGAAATACATCAATTTCACCTCTCCTCCTTCTTGCACTTCCCTAAGAAAGTACAATTTGATATTAAAATGCTTGGTTTTACCATGAAAAACTGGATTATGAGAAATTGCTATGGCTGTCTGATTATCCACAAACACTTATGTGCTTGCTTGTTGCTTCAAATCAAGATCTAACAGGATTTTCCTTATCCAAAGAGCTTGATTAACTGCTGCAGCTGTAGCAATGAATTCAGTTTCTGTAGTTGACTGTGCTATGATTTCCTGCTTCTTTGAGCACCATGAAAAACATCCTGAGTCAAGGCTAAAACAATAACCTGAAGTTCTTTTCATATCATCAACTGAACCTGCCCAATCACTATCAGAATATATTGCAATTTGAAAGTCTGACACTTAGAGAACTTAATACTATAGTCTAAAGTTCTCTTGACGTACCTTATAACTTTTTTGGCTGCTTTCATGTGCGTTTCACTCGCACAATTTAGAAATCTGGACAATACACTTACTGCCTGAAGAATATCAGGTCTAGTGGCAGTGAGGTACATAAGACACCCAATCATACTTCTGTAACTAGCCTCGTCAACCTTGTTACTACCATCATCCTTGACCAGCTTCTCATTTTGATTTATTGGAGTGTTCATAGGCTTGCAGTCTTCCATTTTGAACTTCTTCATAATCTCTCTTGCATACTTCTTTTGGCAAATGAACACTTCATTTTGAGTTTGATGAATCTGCATCCAAGAAAGTAAGACATTTCTCCCAAGTCTGTCATTTCAAATACTTTCTTCATTTCTTCCTTGAAGTCCTCGATCATTTCAAGGTTGTTGCCTGTTACAAGAAGATCATCAACATAAAGTGATATAATCACAATATCAGAATCTCTTTTTCTAATAAAGAGAGTTGATTCACTTAAGCTTTTCTTAAAACCTAAGCCTTGCAAATGCTCATCAATTCGACTGTACCAAGCCCTCAGAGCTTGTTTTAAACCATAAATGACTTTCTCTTCAATAGATAAACTTTATCTTTATGTCGCCTTACAGAAAAACCTTGAGGCTACTCCACATAAATTTGCTCCTGCAGAAAACCATTTAAAAAAGCTGACTTGACATCTAACTAAACGATTCTCCAACTTTTTTGAGCAGCAATAACTAGTAACAATCATATAGTATCAAGTCTAGCAACTGGAGAAAATATTTCCAAATAATCAACTCCAAAAATCTGTGGGTAACCTTTCACAACAAGCCTAGCCTTGAGCTTGTTAACAGAACTATCAACATTTAATTTAGTGCGATAAACCCACTTCACACCAATGATCTTCTTATCTTGAGGCTTTTCCAAAAGCTGCCAGGTCTCATTTTTCTCAATCATTGCAAGCTCCTCCTGCATTGCAGCTTTTCACTTAGGATATGAAATGGCTTCCTCGAATCCAGATGGCTCTAAAATGGCCACATTGCATCTCTGGTATATGTGTGAGAGCAACCTCGTTCCTCTCACAGGTTGATGATCAATGCTTTCATAAGAATCGGGTAGATTGTTTGTAATCTGCTTCTACTTACCTTCTTCCCAGTTCCATTGCTCATTCTCCATAAAAAATACATCTTTGCTTATCACAATTTTTCTTGTATGAGGCTGCAAAATTCTGTAAGCTTTAGAGACCGTGCTATAACCAATAAACACTCTAGGTTCAGCTTTCTTGCCTAACTTGTCTCTCTTAACATGTGGAATATAAGATAAACACAAACAACCGAAGATCTTTAAGTTTTTTAAGGAAGGTTTGTACCCATGCCATGCCTCAAAAGGTGTCTTTCCCTCCACTGCTTTTGTAGGCAGCCTGTTCAGCAAAAAAATAGTAGTGTTAGCTGCTTCTGCCCATAAATTCTTTAGTAGGCCATTCTCATGTAACAAGCACCTCGACATCTCCATTATCGTCCTATTCTTCCTTTCACTAACCCCATTCTGTTGCGGAGTATATGGGGCAGTGAGTTGATGCTCAATTCCTGCATTTTTACAGAAATTTTCAAATTGATCTGATGAGTACTCAGTACCATTATCTGATCCTGCAATCACTTTGATTTTCTACCAAAGCTTTGAATTTCCAGAACACTTCAAGTACTTCAGATTTGAACCTGAGAAAATAAATCCAACACATTCTTGCCATATCATCAATGATTGCTATGAAATATTTACTTCCTTTGAGAGAAGCAGTCTTGTGTGGTCCACACAAATTAGTATGGACTAATTGAAGTTTCACTGATGCTCTCCAGGTTGCCTCGGGAAAAGGCATCCTGCTTTGCTTTCCCAATTGACATGTGCTGCAGTTTGAGAGTTCCTCCTTCATAGGTAGTAGTCCCTGAACCATATCTTTCTTCGACATGTAAAAGAGTGCCCCTGATGGAAATTCCCGAGTCTCTTGTGCCATACATCTGCAGTTATCACATGGCTTGGATAGGCAGCCAACTTTTCCTCCATTGGATCAAAGGAAAAACTTCTTCCTCTCATTTTAACTCGACATACTTCTTGACCCTTTGGATCAAAGATCACACACATCCTGTCCTCAAAAATAAGCTTGAAATCATTCTCCAAAAATTGCCTTACGCTCAACAAATTTTGATCAATTTCAGGAGCAAAGAGCACATCCGTAATTAACTTTGTACTTGAGTAACTTTCAATAGCTATTGTGCCTTTCCCTTTGGCAGGAAGATAATCACTATTACCAATTTTGACTTTAGAGGGTACAGATTTGTCTAACACTTTAAAAATTTCCTCATCATGAGTCATATGATTTGTACAACCACTGTCAATTAACCAATTTTCACTTCAACTTTTGCTTGCAAAACATGTCGCCACAAACAATTGCTCTTCTTCTTATTGTTCTGCAATTTGTGCTTCATTTGATTTTTGTGGTCCTTTCTCTTTGAAAATAATCTCAGCATGCGCAAGTTTATGAAACTTTCTGCATCTCATATCAGGTTTTCTCCAACATTAGAAGTGTGGATGGTTTCTCTTCCCGCAATGCTGGTAAGGTGGATATTTTCCACCTTTGTTGTTGTTGCTATTATCAGTTGCAACAGCTTCTGTTGACGTAGAATAGCTCTTCTTGCCCTTCTGCTTCTTGCCTTTGCTGCCAGGGTTGAATAGTTGCCTTGCTTGCAAAGCTCCTTCAACAGCTCCCTTTTTACTCATCAATCTTCTTTGTTCTTGTGCTTGTAAAGAGTTTAAAAGTTCCGCCAAACTAATGCATGACAGATTTTTTGTATTTCCAGTGAAGCAATTGTTGCTTCAAACTTCTCGGGTAAAGTAACAAGAATTTTTTGCACAATTCTTTTGTCAAAAAGTTTGGCGCCAGGTAACTTTACCTTATTTGCCAGATTGATAAGCCAATCAAAGTACTCCTTAATAGTCTCAGATTTCTTCATTTTTTGCATTTCAAATTCCCTCACTAGGTTTAAGACCTTCATGCCTCGAATTCTTTCATCTCCATAATATTATATTTTCAGTAAGTCCTAGATTGCCTTAGTCGAACTAAGAGTCATGATTCTGGAAAAAATAGTAGGAGATACTGCAGCATAGAGACACGCCTTCGCCTTTGACTTCCTGGTCTTCTTCTCTTTGTGAGTTTTGATCTGAGTCATGGTAGGATTGCCTGGTAAAGGGGAAACTTCATAATCCTCCTCTACTACCTCCCAGAGATCACATGCATTCATGTAGGCTTCCATCTTGACAGTCCAAACCTGATAGTTTTCTCCATCAAAAACTGGTGGAGCAATTGATGAAAAAACACTCTCACCTTCCATAATTCTTTAAGGCGATTTTATGGATGGTCTGATTAAGTGTTTGGGTTTTCACTTAGTTGATAACTCACACTCTTAGAAGTCCCTTAAGAACAAAAAAGCTCTGATGCCATTGTTAATGCTATTGACAGCAAAGAGCAGTAAAGTGACTTGGAAAATCTGTATTTTTATTGATCATGAAAGCTTGCTTAAATATATAAAGTCAGTAACTGACTATCAATAAATACTGCTAAAAATATGCTAAACAACTCTATTACTAACTAAAAAGGAGGAACAGAACTTTAAGATAACTAACAAATTTTCAAAAAGAAAAACAGAATTCTAAATATCTGCAAGAGAGTCAACACAATATGGTGTGTATTCCTCAACTTCTGCAGCCTAATTAAGCTCCTGATTTTATTGACTACAACAACATTGCAACTTTTGAGGCAACTGCAACAGATTTTGATCATGTTACTGTCCTGCTGTTAATGAGGTGGTTGGTAGGCCAACTGTTGCTGGTGCTGCTGATTATAACCCTGTTGCCTTTGATAAGGCACGACTTGGCCTTGTGTTCGTGCTCCTCCTAGATTGGGGTTGTGTTGTGGCTGGTTTGATCTGTACTGCTGGTTTGATGTTGGTCCCCATTGCTGCCCACCTTGTCTCTGACCTCCGAAATTATTGACATGTTTCATGTCTTCTCTGAAGCCCTGGTTGTCATTCTCTCCACTCCACGAACGCACATATCACTGGTTTTGCAAGGAGTGCATAAACCTCCATTTGTCGTATCAATAATGTGCACCTGTTTCGTACCCATCTCATCAAGTTTCTTTGTCAGCAAGCTCATCTGGGTCATGAGAGTGGCTATGTTTTATGCATTTGTATTGTTTGGATCAAGAGCGACAAAATGCACTATTGGAGTGGGTGTTGTATCTCTCGTCATCCAACCTGAATTTTGAGACATCTTGTCAAGAATAATCTTACACTCTGTGAATGTTTTGCTCAAGAATGCACCCCCAACAGAAGCATCTACATTGGCCTTCAGACCGTCAGCCAAACCCATATAGAATCTCTGTCCTAGCATCTGATCCGGGATGCCATGGTGCGGAAACTTTACCAACATACCCTTAAACCTCTCCCAGATTTCTTGCAAAGTCTCAGTCGGTTTCTGCCTGAATTGCAATATCTCGTCAATTTGCCTTGCAGTTTTGTTGGGTGGATAAAACTTGTTTAAGAACTGCTAGACTAGTTCCTCCCAAGTAGCAATGGAGTTTATTGGGAGCGAATTCAGCCAAGTTTGAGCCTCCCTAGTCACTGAGAATGGGAACATTAATAATTTGATTACTTCAAGAGTCACACTAAGCTGTCTCTGAGTGACACAAATTGATAGAAAGTTCTTCAGATGTTGTTGTGGGTCTTTAATGTATGACCGAGAGAACTACCCCTTATTCTGTAGCAAGTGCAACATGTTATTGATTATCTGAAATATCTTCTCTTGTATCTGAGGGACTGCAATTGTTGTGGCCAGGTTATCAGCAGTTTGTTGCGCCTAATCATAAAGAGTAGCTTCTGGCACAAGAGGTGCTACCACTCTGATGTTTGGGTCAACTCGATCATTTCTATTATTCCCGTTGATGTTCTCGGCGTCGTCCATTTCATTTTTGAGTTGGTCGTTTTGTTTTAGATGTTTGGCCTTCTTGTTAGCCCGATTCAATGCCTTGAATGCTTTTTTGGGATCTAAGAGTCCTTCAAAAAGTTCTCCAGTTCTCAAGGAGCTTCTAGGCATGCACCTAAGTCACAGAAGAGTTCAAACATGAGAATTTCAATGGAAATATTTTTAACGAAACAGAAAATTGATCTAAACTAATAATCCTAGAAATTCTTCCAAGTTGAAATAAATAACACCGTTAGTTCCCCGGCAATGGCGCCAAAATTTGGTCACGCCGAACTATGCCTTGTAAAAAGGACTAAGCGGTCGCTGCAAATAAAGTTCGGTTCAAGTCTGGAATGGAATCCCACTGGGAACTAACCTATTTACTGCAACTTTTAACACTGCTAATGATAATCTCAGACAATTCCTGGATGCAATATTTTTAATGGATAATGAGTAGAATTTAGTTAACTAAGGAAAAATGATAATAAAATTAGCAATAATAAAGAATAAAGTTGGATTCAATGGTAAAAGGGTCTAGGACTATTGATTTCCCCAATTGTCGGATTAATTCATGACACGTTAGCTATAATCTCACCGTAACACTCTATAAAGAGTATGAGCTCTGGGCTACCACAATTATCTCTTGATCAATTACGATAATTTACTAGAAGCATTCTCTCGAACTACTATAGTTAACAATTTATGCAACTCAGAATTATCCCACCAAAACTTCGTTATCTCTAACCCCGCTTTTAAATTCAAGTAATTAATCACTTAACTTACCCGAAGGTGGTGTTGTTCAACAACAATCTGACTAAGTATTCTTTCTCAAGCAATACAAGATAATTAGGCACAATTAATCGAGGGCCCGTTCAATTAATCACAAGACAACACGTAGTTGAACAATCATAGAGTAAAAATGACTCAATTATATCTAAATAGAGTCAAGACTTCATCCAACAATTGGTTCTATCAACCCTAGATGTCGGGTTAAGCTACTCATACTAATAGATAAAAATTCACTATAGAAAGTCATAATCAACAACGGAATTAAGAAAAAGAAGATGAAAACTCTTAGGGAAATTCTCTGTCTTCCTCTGCTGTTCTTGCCTCCAAAATCTCTCTAAAAACAACTACCCTCTCTTCTGGACGAATTAGGTTTCATACAGGTTTAGGTTAGCGCCTTAGGAATTACATAATTGACCCTAGGTTATTGGTCTCCATCAGCTCGTCCGCGACCGCAGATTTGACCGCGGATTTCACCTAGTGTTCTACCTTGAGTGCGCGGCCAATGCGCGGTCAATCTGCGGCCGCGCACCTGGAGGGGACTTCGCTACTTGCTTTTCTTTCTCCTTTTCGACTGTGCTAACTTCCGATTGTCCTTCCACGCTCCCTATTGACTCCAAAACACTCTTTAGCTTCCTCATAGCTCGGAGTGACTCCTGTAAAGCATAAAACTCTTAATTAGAGCATTTTGTTATCTTTTAACATTCAAACATTGATAAAGTGCGGCTAAATTAGAGTGTAAATAGTATCTAAATTGCATAATTATAGCCTATTATCACTTGTTGATAGAGAAGAAGCTTCCCGACTATCTTTCAAAATAAATGTGCAATCACTCCGTGATAAACACAGACTAAAAGTTTTCAAACATTGCATTTTGGACTGTATTTGTGATGATTAAGAGCACAACAAGACCATTTGCCAATGACGAAGTTCGTGATGGGCTAAAATGGCCAAAATATTACTCTTAACATGGTATGATATTGTCCGTTTTGGACCAAACTAGCACAGTTTTTGCCTCACACCATTAAGATCCCTACCTTATATGTAGGATCCCAAATAATGTGAGACTTTGTTCGCATATTCGACAATTCTAATGGTATACCAAGTTTGATATAGGGATGTCACCCTATAAACATCTGCTGCTAGAGATCCTTTGGCATATGGGAGTTTTGATTGTATGAACTTCTGAAAGGCAATTTGAATATAAGTTATAGTTTGACAAGATTTTACTATGATTTGAAGTATTAACATAGCAAATTGGACTTAATCTGCCTATGCAACTCTTAATCACTTCTTTTTGGATCCATCTACGCGTACATGGACGAAGAGAATCTTGTTGTAGCCCCTTGAAATTCTGATCTTGTCATCGGTATATCTGCATTATATAAATTGGAAATAACAGGATTTATTAAGCATAACGATCGATAACAAACAGTAACAACAACAAACTCAGTGAGTTATCACAAGTGGGGTTCGGGAAGGGTAGTGCGTACGCAAACCTTACCTCAATCTTGGAAGAACAGAGGAGCTGTTTTCGATAGACCCTCGGCTAAAGTAACGTTCGATGACAAAGTTTACCTAAAATAGTTAGAAAGCCAATGTTATGTCTGCAATAGATATCTTACAGTATTTCTATGGTGAACTTGCATTCCATTTCAACTGGAATTCCATAAACTCCAGCCATGAATGCTCCATCATCCATTATAACATCGTACCGCAATACTTATATTCTTCTAAGAGGTGAAGATTTTGTCGTAAAACAGTGCTAACATAATATCTTTCATCTTTGTCAGGTAATTGTCACACTTTCTTTTTCACCCGCGCCGCCGCAAAGGGGCGCGGAAGGGAGTTTTTCCAACTAAAGGACAATCGATACGGGATTTTATTTAAAGATTCAGAGTCGCCACTTGGGAGGTTCGTGGTGTCCCATCCCGAATCGAGGAAAAGAATGACTCTATTTAACAGTCTACGCACCAGAAATCCGGATAAGGAATTCTGTTAACCTGGGAGAAGGTGTTAGGCATTTCCAAGTTCCGTGGTTCTAGCACGGTCGCTCAACTGTCATATTCNTGTTGAGGGCCTCGCAGTTTGGGTATTCTTGTTTGTCGAGGCTCGTCTCATTCATTATTTTTTAAAGGAATTTTCAACGTCATGGAAATGCATCTCGAACCACGTCACAATCAATGTACCCGTGATTAACGACACA